CTGCAGCACCAGTAGAGGCCAGAGCCACCTCCCACCCGCAGTCCAGATAAAATCAATTGGCAAGCCAGCTCCAGCCCACAAGCCGTATTTTGCCCACCCCGATCTAGAACCCATCTGTATGGTATATAAGGAATACAAAGACTCTATGCATTCACCCACATGGAAACCTAACGTGAGACTTGACAGTACAATGAGCCTTGACAGGCCATTCTGAAGGGATGAACTCCTGCCCCAGAAGCACTAGTTAAAAATAATAATTAACTGGTCTCATTAAACAATTTTGCACTCCAGAAGGTTTATCTAGTTTCACATATTAACACCAATATGATGTGGTTGGTATGCTCATTTACTACCGTTATTTACCATTCACTGGGTGTGTCTACATGAGACAGTTACTGTGGAGTAGACTAATTAGCTCCACAGTAGATTTCTCACGTCTACATGTGCTGCCCTATTAACCCACAGAAAACGAATTAACTCTGCAGTAGGGTAGTACTTGTAAATACAAGTACCATAGTGCTGTATATTTTTTAAACTCCACAGCACTGCACTTATAGATACTGATGCGGCTGGTTAGGGCACAAGGGTGCTTCAGTGCAGGGGCTGCTTGCCAGCTAGCACTGCAATGGAGCACCCCCATGCCCTAGCCAGCCCCTCTGCAGCACATTGAGCCGGGTCAGAGCAGCCCCGGGCTGGCAAGCTGACCCCTGGACCCCTTGCCAGCTGGGGCTGCTCAGACCCAGTTCAACGTGCTGCAGTCCCAGGAACACATTCAAACAGCACACTGGGGAGCAATAAACTCCGGAGTACAATAAGTGCTGGAGTTTATTGCTTCACCTTAATAGCATCTGTAGATGTGCCCCTTGATGGGCAATCTATTCGCTTGCTTTTTTTTCCCTCAAACTATCTTCTACCATTTTTTTTCAACCTAAGCAAATAATAGAAAAGTAAAACAGAGCTTTTGATTAAGTATGGCAAGTCGTGCTGTCTTGATAATACCATGACATCAACAGCATTGCCTGAGCACCATGTTTTTGTAAGACTGTAATAATGCACATTACAAATGCTATTATAATATATTAATTACCTCTATTTTTCATAGTTATATTTAGCAACTTATTTCTCTTGTTTTTGTCATAGACAGTTTTAATCATTAGGATTACAAGCCAATCAGTCTTGTCTGATGGAAGAACAACAGTAGTTCAACACAATCTGTTATTCAGTAATATATAACTTCACATTTTTGGTAATAATAATTAGTTTAAAATGCAAATGTCAATGATTATCAGTCCTACTATATTTTCATCTATCTACTCTTCTAAGTCCCAAGGAAACTAAGTGGCCAAACTAAACAGTTTCTCTTTTGTAATACAAAGATATTTAGAAATATGCTATCTCCAAACAATACTATTTTTTTCCAGCAGCCAGTTACACAAACAGTGCTCTCAGATTCAGCACTTTGTAAGCAGTATCTCTTAGCTTCCTAACAGAACTCTCACAAAAAGCATAACTGAGCTAACTCCAACTATGTTTAACAACAAATATGAACATTGGCACTTTAAAGAGTAGCCATTGCAATTGTTTTGTTTTCATACTATGTCAACTGTCCGTAGAGCAACAGAAGTCACAAGTAGAAATAGACCCATTAGCTCATCTACAGTAATCTTCCCCCCTACCAGTAAAAATTGTTTCCTGTGATGCATCATCTCAGGTTTTATCTCTTGGGTTTTATGCTCTTAAAATTCACAAGTGTGGCTTTTGCTACCAGCCTTGGGGAGACTGTTACAACCTTTTAGTGAATCTCAGAAAAAATTCCTGACAGTCAATATGTTCCCTTTCTAAATTGATTCTTATTAGTACATCATTGTATTCAAACAGCACCAAAATTCTGTTAGATCCTTTAAAGACACGATCCCTATTTCAAAGAGTTTACAAAGATCTAGTATGCTAATCAGGACACTGTTAGGAAATAGAATCCAACAAGAAACAAGCTCAGTCAGTGCACAAAGTTCAGCACAAACCTATGTATCATGGTAGCTGTATGACTTTTGTTTTCCTTCCCTGCCCCAGGTCCTGTCTAGTTCATTGGGCACTTATTTTTTCAGGAGGATTATAGCCTTTTTGAAAGAAATAAAAGTAGCTGAAGGAAGAAAAGAAGAAAGTATGAAATATCAGGACAGGGAAGAAGCAGCATGCAAAAAGAATGGGGGACAAGAAAGAGAAGGACATTAGTGGGCAGGTGGTTTTGTTATTTGGGTACACTGAAAGGGAGAAATAACTGGCAGAACAGAAAGTAAGCTTTTTGCCTACTCCTCTGACATGCTGTTTAATTATGACCGGTAAGGTAATTCTAATTAATTTGTTTCATACCACCAGCACACTAAAAGCAGTAAATTCAAAAGATGCTCACTCTGGCATATGGGTAGGAGAGAAAATACTAGTATGTTTTAAAAAGTAAACATGGAAGGAAAGCAGACATATCTGACCTAGGATAAAGCAAAGATACCTGCACACCCCACTGTCCCTTTCTTACTTTGATAAGACGCAGGATTTCAGGACAGTCCTGGGGCCTTGCTGCACGGATTCTGAAATGGCTCATGGCACCAACACTAATTTCAGGCCTAGGGGAAGCAGGAGGCAGCAGAGGACTGGTTACTTCTCAGGAGGAAGCTTAAGGAGGAAGCTGGGATGCTACTTCAGATCTTGCTCCTCATTCACCATTTCAAAGGATGGACAAAAGGTAAAATGTTTATTCCTTCCCCTCTTCCTCCTCCTCCACTCCCTGCCTCTTCCTGGGTTACATGCTGCCCTGTTTATACCCTGAGTCTTACAACCTTTTCAACCAGCAGCCCTTGAGCAGGTGGAGAGTCACAATGGAATCCAGCATCACAATCCTGACCTTTCCCCTGTCTCAAGGTAATGGCACAGTGGCATACTAGACTCTGAATTCATTCACTAAGAACAGGAAAGAAAAAGGCAGAGGACAGTCTGTGGAGTGTTAAATTTGAGCAGTTGCCTGTCTTAGCACTAGCTATGGGTTTTCTCAGGTTTTTTTTTTTAATTATTTTTTGGGGGGGTGCCTAGAGCTGATGGCCATCATCTCTTATCTCTTCTTTGATTTCTTTGGGTAGCAGGTGGACTCTTTCACAAAGATGAGTGAATTGAGAAACATATTAAGCTGAAGGTGAGAGCACTGAGAGTGCTGGGTGTCAGGAAGATTCAAAGTGAGTCAAGGACATTCATAGTAGGGTACAACTGGCCAAGAAGTAGGAGAGGAAATCAGCAATAAGCATAATCCATTGTTTTTCCCCAACCATAGACTGATTAAATACCACTCCGTGTTAAGTTTTATGTTTTTTCTTTCTTTCCATTTCATGCCAATATGTATTTATCCTTCTGCTTCTAGCTTTTTAGCTTCTATTCCCTCAGTTTCTAAAGTATATGCACCTCAAACATTTTTAACTTAATATAAGATGTTTCTCTAAAAATATTTTCAGCATACCAAAGGGGGTTTTTTGTTGTCTTGGTTATTTTCAGTACGATTCCCCACAGGCTACAGTATCATCAAGCCCAGATACTAATACTTTGTAATAGTTGCTAAGATTTTCCTTCTTAATTCAACAAATGTAGAGAACATGTAATAAGAAAAGCTCAGTCAAGAGCAGCCTTCTGCAAGTAGCCTCCATGTGTCAAATTCAAGTGGCGAAAACACCCAGGAGAGTTCTGTGGTACTTGATCATCAGCTCTTGAGTTCCCTCCCACTGTGATCCATCAGGGCACAGGCATGATAGCTTATGGAAGACCTTTTTACTTGGCTGGGCCATCAGCAGGCAGTTTCAGATAATTGTCTAGCAAGTTTTTTTCTATTTTCTATTATTTTAATATTTTAATTGTAAGCCACCCCAAGTTGCTGCTTGAGGGAGAAGACAGCATGTAAATCTGGTAAAGAAATAAACTTGGCCTTCCTGATTTGCTCCCTAAGCATGCATGCAATATTGTTATACACTTCACTAGAAATAAGTTGAAGTTTCCACTTTTTTGTTAGGTTTTTTTTTCTTTTTTAGTTTCAAGTCATTGGAGCTATGCTGGTGTCTTCCTGCACTTCCTATCCTTTTTTTGCATCAGAATACCTTGCTCTTCACTCTTAATATTACTTCCTTAAGGTACAGCCAGTTCTCCTAGACTTCTTTTCCTGTCAGGTTTGCCTTCCATGAGATCCTGCCTACCATTTTCCTGAGTTTGCAAAAGTCTACTCTGCTAAATTACAGTCTATTCTGCTCTCCTTTCTTTTCCTTAGGATCTTGAACTCTATCATTTCATGGTCACAGTCACCCAACTTGCCTTCCACCTTCATATTCTTAACCAATTCTTTCCTGTTTTTGAGATTCCCCCATAGTTGGCTCCTCCAACATCTGTACCAAAAAGTTCTCTCTGACATGTCACAAACTTGTTGGGCTGCCTGTATACTGCTGTGTGGTCTAGCCAATAAATGTCATAGTAACTGAAGTCCTATGATTTGAATGCTTCTGTTAATTGTTTGAAAATAGTAAACAGGCTGGATCACACAGCAGCATACAGGCAGATAGTCACTATGACATCACTTGTGCTGTTCTCTGGTCTTCTCTTGTCCCCAAGGCTTTCAACAGACCTACCTCCTACTTCACACTGCACCTCAAAACAAATGTACACCTCTCTTTAAAGAGTAATAGCAGTTCACTTTTCCCACTGTCTCTCCTTCCCAAACAACTTGCACACTTGCATGACAGTATTCCAGTCATGAGAACTATCCTGCCAAGTCTCAGTTATCCCAATTACATCATATTTCCCTGATTATACTAGGACTTCCAACTGTTTCTACTTATTCCCTATGCCTCTCACTTTAGTATACAAACATTGTAGATAACTAAGCAAATGCCCACATTTCTAAATCCATTGTTAAGGCTCCCCATATTGCCTCTTCTTAATTTGCTATTATCTAGGTTATCTGGCTCTTTTATCAACAGGCCTTTGTCTCTGTCCACCATTGAACCTAATTATCTCTATGGACACAAGGGAAATTATAATTGAAAAGCAGATTTTTTTTTTTCTGTAGTCATAGAATCAGAGAAGTAGGGCTGGGAGAGACTTCCACTGGTCATCTAGTCCAACCCCTTGCTTGAAGCAGGGTCATCCTTATCTAAACCATCCTATACAAATCCATAATCTAAACTCTTCCTAAAACTACAGTTAACCCTAACACAACACAACACGGCACTTTAATCTGCCTCAGGTAAAGCAGAGAACCATGGCAGCCAACATCCTGCTTCTATAAAAGGTTGTTGATATATGCTCATTGTACCTATGTTTGATCATTCTAAAATTTACTATTGGAATGTTGTTATATCCACTATATCAATAATGCTTAAATAAAAAGCTACATTAAAAAAGTAAATAGCTGTAACAAAGTTGAACAAAATGTTCTAAATATCAATTAGAACATATCAACTTATGTTGCTAAATTAAGAGTTTTAGTATCTGGTTACAATACTTCAGCCATAAAGATGTTAATGTTAAACATGTTTATGGTCCTGTTTACATTCACAGAAGATTAATATATAGAAAACATTTTACAGTAACTTTGATACAGGCTAGTAGGTCATTCTTTACCAAGACAGATGCTGTAAACTAAGTTCAAAGTCCATAATCTATGATCTGCTATAACAAAAACAAAATCTGAAAGTGACAGTTGTGTTCTGCCGCAGGACAAATCTAGAAGAGTTTGAGTAGTTGTGTGGTAAAAAGCTTCATAATGTTGCATTTCAGTGACTTACTGCTTCTCATCGTGCTGCTGTCCAGTGTTTTGCTGACTGCCCAGGCTTCAGAACGTAAGAAACCTTTGGGTTACTATGCATTATAATTTTAAAGAAACAGTGTTTTGTATAATCCTACTCACCTATTCCTAAAAACAGCTATGTTGGAAAACCTTCTAATAGTTAAAGTAGAATATATTTACAAAAATGAAAAAAAAATACACCAAATGTGACAAAGCTGTTATGAACAGTGACTATATATATATATGTTGTTGTTAATCATTTGAAGTTTTGAGTTCTGGAATGTCAAGTGATAAGATTTTATTGAGATGTAGGTAAATGAGAGAGAATGTGTGATTCTATTTTTGTTTGCTGTTGCTGTACTCTGTCTATATAGACAAAAGTACTGCAGCATATATGTTGTCTCATGTGCATGTAGACAAATTATAAGCTTTACTACAAAAATAGTTACATTTTTTTAGCAAATCCAAATAATTTTGAGTCAATTGCATTTGACACTGAGTTTAAATGAATACGGTGGTCTAGCTCTTACATTTGGTTAGAAGGAATTAACGATACAAAGTACAAATTCAAAGTTATGGTTTTAGAAATTCTGTAGCTCCTTATAGGTGAATGGGAAGAAAGTGATCTGAGTTAACAGACCCAGATAGGTTCTTTTATAAAAAATGTAAGCAGCTAAGCAATATAAAGCTTTATCTGGGTTCTGTTGACATATTTTTGGACAGAATATTTGATTTAACAAAATGGGTTTATCTTTAACGCGCTATTATTTTCATCCCAGCTTCAATATCATTATTGGAGAGAAATACTGTGTTGCTTCCTAAAGTCTAGGTGGCATAAACTGTCTTCAGTTTTTAGCTTCCTGATCAAGACAGTTGTGATATGATTTTTCTTTTACCCCTCACAAATCCAGGGACGCTGATAGACATGATGCTTTGGGCGCTTTAATTACCATGGCTCTTGGAGCTATGCTAATTAAAGCGTCCCCTCCCCCCACCTCCTGAAATATGTCTATAAATGCCCTTAGGTATTAAATCACAGTACACATGGTAGGTATGATTTACTGACTGAAAGAGAATAGATCAGGAGGTATGCAGAGATTCAGAGTAAAATAATTTGAGACGGTAAGCATTTGTCCCTCAGAGGGAAAAGATGAGATTTCAAATCGTTTCAGGTCTGCGAATCATTCAGAGAGATAATTTATAAAGTTTAAAGAATATTTCACGAAGTCTTGAGGTTTTTTCTTTTTTATGCAGCATATATACAACATGCTCACTTACTATGTTGTTACTTATGTGTGTGTGTGTGTGTTTGTTTTAATTTACAGCCAGTTGCACTAATGTTTCTGACTTTGATAATTGCATGGGTAATACAGAAGGCTTCTGCCCTAATAGCATTGCTTGTGGATGTAAAGACCAAAAGCCCTTTTGCAAGTAAGTGTGAGATATACTAAATAAATGTAAAAGTGTCAGTGTATTTTTGCTGATAAAGAAATAATGGGCATTGCATTCTGATCCATGAGGATGAACTGTTGTCTTGATACACTCCCTGCAAGAACAAAATATTCTGATCATGAGACTCAGATTCAGGATCAGGGTCTAACATTGCTGCAGTTTGGGTTTTGTTTGTTTGTTTGTTTTTAGCTTGTTTTACACCAACTGAGATGCAAGAATTGCATATACAGTTAAGATTACATATAATAATTAATGATTAGGACCCCCTGTTTTCATACTCTTATCATAGCCTCAATTGTTTTCTCAATGAAGTGAAATGCTCTGTAAGATTCAACCCAAAAGTGATTTATTTTCAAGCATGATCAAAATGTAAGAAAGAGTCTGATTTGTAAGTCCTTAACAACATCCACCTCTTTTCTTTCTAAAGTACATTTCTGGTTCAAATACAAATGTAATACCAAATTTTCCTTCCTTATAAGTTAATGACATGCCATGCACTGTAGTCAGCATTTGAAATTTGCTATTACAAGGCAGAATTGTTTTATGACTGAATTGCATTTGTAACTGTATAGATTTAAAATTCTGATAAGAAAAACTTAATGCCCTGAATCAAGCCATAATTTTAATCACTTTTAGGATTCAAGGGAAGAATTTCCCTTTGACAATTACAACACTTCCTTATTGCTTAAGTTATAGGCAGAAGTATGGCAAATCCTGCATGCCTAATTTATAGCTCAGTGCAATTTGAAAGTAGCTGTACATTATGTTCTGGAAACTTGATCTATATAACAAATATATTAAATCCACTTTTAAAAAGCTGGAGGGGATGCAACTATGGAACAAATTTCCAGGGGGAATTAGGTAGAATCCAAACTGAACATTGGCAGAAAATGTTACAAAAACTTCATAGTAAAGGCCTTCCACTACAAGACTGCACACAATTGTGACACCCTTTATGCTAGGGGTGAGCAAAATTCAGCCCACAGGCCAGATCTGGTCCACCAGGTTATTTTCCCTCCACGCCATCCGGCCCATGGGCAGGTGCCTACCAATTCACTATATCCAGCCTGGCCCCAGGCTGCCCCTGCTGTGCTTGATTGGGGCCGAGCCCCGCTCACTCCTGCAAGGGCAGCGCACACTTCTCTCCCACCTTCACCTGCAAGATGGCACTGACCCTGGCCCTGCAGGTAGGGAAGTGGTGGTGGAGGGGGAGTGGTGGTGGTGGTGGATGGGGAGGAGAGGGCAGTGGGTGAGTGGGCGGGAAGGTAGGGAAGTGGCAGGGGAAGGTTGGCAGCAGTGGCAGTAAGGGGTAGTGGTGGTGGCAGTGGCAGGCAGGAGCAAAGCAGCAGATGGGGGGGGAGTGCAGGGCCCATGCTGCTGCCCCAGGGCCAGGGCCAAGTCAGTGAGGACCCAGGACAGGGGGGCAGGAGAGTAGAGCCGGGCTAGTTGGGGCATGGGGTCCATCTGGCTTCATTGCATGGGGCTCACAGCGGTGGCTCAGTCCCACTCACTGCTATGCGTAGGTCATGGAGAACAGTGGGGGGCTCCAAGTTATGGAGCCAGGATGCCTCTGCCCCTCTCCCTGATGCCTCAACTGATCCCCATAACATGCACCACTGTCCTCATTGTGTAGGGCTTCCCCTAGTGGTGTGAGGCGCAGACATGTGAGCTCTGTGCAATGGAGCTGGTGGCCTGGTCACATGCAGTCCTGGGGCTTGCCAGGACGGTTCGCCATTGGGGGGTTCTGCCTCCTGCTGCCACTGACAGCAGGGGCTGTGCGTAATGGGGACATGTTTGTAGGGGGACCACACCCACACACCCTACACATCCCCATCCCCACACCCACTGACATCCACATACACCCCCATAACCTTCCCCACACCCCACATACACGTGAGCGCACACACATGTGCACACACACACACACACACTTTCCCCTACACTGCACATCCACATACCCTACAATATACAAGAGTTAGACTTCATTTTTTAGGTATTATGCAGTCACCTCTACATATGCAATGGAAATACACACAAATCAGGACAAGAAATTATTTTTAATAACATTCAAATATGTGATTGCAGATTTTTAGTATATAATTTGTTTTGTTTTTTCTGGTTCCAAGATGGCAAACCCCCTTCCCAAAAGGCGTACTTCCAGTGGCAAAGGTCAGGGGTATGGGGTGGGACTTCCAGTCCCAAGATGGTGACCATGGGGTGGGGCACCTGTCAAGGGCAGGGCTACCCTTGTGGCCCTGGACAGCTTACCAAAACTTGTTAAGTAGCCCTGCAGACAAAATAATTGCCCACCTCTGCTTTATACCCAAACTCTCAAACAAAATCAAGAAATATTGAAAATAAAAAAAAATCAATGTGCAACTTAAAAATCAACTTGAAAACTCAAGAGTTTAGCATTATTGTTTTTACCCTGTAGATACATAGATACAACAAAGATGGGTAGTAGTTTAGAACATGAATGCCACATGCCCCCAGAGGCTGAGGGAGTACGGCGACCGCCCACAGGCTGCAGTGGCAGTGTCGGTGGCAGGGACATGGTGATGGCAAGCGGGGAGCTCCTGCAGGCAGCCACAGTGGTGTTGGTGGTGAGGAGAAGAGGTGGCGAGCACCACAGATGCTGCTGGCAGTGTCGGTGGTGGCCAGCAGTAATCAGGGACCACCTGCAGATGCTGCCAGCGGTGTCAGCTGCAAGGGGTGGGGTAGCAAGCAGCGACTGCCCACAGGTACCGCCAGCGCTTTTTGCAGGGGGTGCACATGCACGTGTGTGCACCCCTATGCATAGCTAATGGTATAAAACAATTATATAGATCATGTTTCATGTTTCCCTGGACCCCACATGTTAAATAAAAATAGAACTAAACATTTTTTTCTGATTATTTAATGATTTTTGGTTAGACTAATGCTTTAATAACTCATTTTTTATTGGCAGATGTCCTTACTATAGAGGCGTCTGGGGAGAGTACTGGTATCTGGGTGAAAAATGTAATCAACTTTGGAGAACTTTGGACTTGATTTTAGTAGCTGTACTTCCTGGAGTAGCACTGGCTTTTCTGGTTTGTGTAATATTGCAGATTGTCTACTACTGTAAACGTCATAAGGGAGAACGGTAAGTTACTTATGAACATAAGGTTTTCTGAAAAAAAAGTGGGTGGCAGAGGGGAAGGACCTAAATATAACTATGCCCTAATGTTATGTGTATGTTTATTTATTTAAAAAAGATCACATTTTCTTATTAAAAATAGGAAACCAGTCCTAAGAGAGGCTGTGGAAAGATAGATTTTTGCACACAGTTTGAGGAAAACAAAGTAAAGGCTAGCATTATAGTCTTTCATAATTTAAATTAACAGCATTGCAATTCAAAATAACCAGCCATATTGCATATTATTTTATCAAAACACTATATAATCATTCAGCATTTTATTGCTACAAGAAATTTGTTTCTCCTCTCCAGAACTGACCTGGCTGACTAAGCCCCTTTAACTTGCTGGTGTAACCTGAGGCTACCATATTTGTCCTGTCCTACTTATTTGTTACTAGGGCTTGACTGCATTTCAGTAACATCAGGCTGAGAGAGAGACCTGTAAAAGCCTGATCAGGATCCTGTCAAGTACTCTGAATTACTAAAGGAAAAAATATAGCAATTTAGGGTTGCATTATTATTGTAAGTGAAAATAACTGCTTGGGAGATATCTAAGTGAACTGAGACTCTGTTAGACGTAAGGGAAAGAATGTAGTTGTATTTCAGAGTGAAAAGGGGTTTGAAAACATTAAACTGTACGTTTTAGGGCATGGACAGACATAACCTTTAAAGTATTCCAAACAATTTCATAACACCCCTAAATGTGACAGTACAGATTCATGCAACTGATGAAGCACTTCAGAGATTATCCTGGATAAAGCAGGAACTTTAAGAGCTTAACAGTGAAGCAGTTCAAGGTTACATATGCATCCTCAGGCAGAAAGGTAGGGAGTTGGTCAGTCCTGCATCCCACACTCCTGCTGCTCCAAGGAAACACTTATGTGACACACCTGAACTCCACTGCTTCAAGGTTACAGAACTTGACTGGCCTGTGACCTCAACTATTTACTGCCAGGTATAAAGGCACAGCTAATTTTTGCTGTGCACCAACACTAATGCTTTAGCCTCTGCTAAAGTATTGAGGATCTTTTGGAGCATATCAACAGCTGTCTCCACTCAAAATGTCGGCAGCTGCCATATCCACAAGGAGGTCTATCAACTAGATGGTGGACAGAGGTAATATTGCTCTTTGACATTTAGGATAAAAAAACACATTGCTCACTCCAGCTGAGCCACTGCAACAAGGCCATCTATGAGCACATTGCCTCCAAAATGGCTGCTCAAGGGCCCAACCACAATCAACATTATGTCCTACTGTCCTCCCATCCTCACAGCCACCTATCTCCTCCATATTCCTACCACACATCCTTCCACTACTTGCAGTGAGTATCCTCCAACAGTCATCTGTGACAAACTGGCCTTCTTCCTCTCAATGCCCTGAGCTGAGCTGACCAAAGACACAGACAGGAGTGATGGCCACCCAACCATCTGGTAATTTTTTATGCTCCAGCATGTGACAGTGCTTGTGGTTTTCAAGTCCCCCCCTCCCCCCCCCGCAGCATCATTATATCATTAGGCTGCCTCAGGAGCATGAGGTCCCATACTGTTGCTTAATGAGGACATGGCCAACTTGCAACATACACCCTTAGGGAGAAAAGGTTTCAGGGTGTGCAGAGCCGGTTGGGGGTGGGGGAGAGAAAGGGCATGCTTGCTTTGAATCACTCCAGGGTCAGGTCCCTGCCCTAAAGCACCATTGCTTTAAAAGAGTGTAATGCTGGTTTGAGGGGGAAGAGGGAAGATGGTGGGAGATTACATCCTGAGAGTTTGTGCCGGGTTTGATGCATCTGCCACGAGGCTGCTGCCAGGGGGAATAACCAGGGTGCAAATTATGGGCGAGTTCAGGGGGGCTGAGCCCCTCCCATAAAAAATGAGAGCCCCCCCTGTAAGATTTGAAAATCATAACCCAGGGCGTTCTCCAATCGGTTTGCTCCTTCCAATAAACTGGTTTCTTTTTTTTGCAGACCTCCCACTCAAGAATCAAAGTATAATTCGAACCCTGGAAATAACACCTGCCCGCATAACCATTACAGTAACAAGTTATACTAAAAGGAGAGTGATTAAGCAGTGTTTGGGGGATCAGTGGAGATCTCTCATTGCAGAATGCTATTTGTGGACTTACTTGACAGTTGTCAGGTAATTCACTAACAGGCAGCTTAGCACTTTTTTTGTTCCTGACAATCCTCCTTTCCTAACTATCAAGCAATAAGTCTTGGCAACTGTTCCCCAGCTCCTGTGCCTTGCCTCCTTCAATTGCTACAGAGTAAGGGCTACAATGGGTGGCAACATCACTGGCACTGCTCCAACATACTCCCCACTCCCCACCATTGCCAAGTGGTTGGCCCCAGCCACTTGGGAAATGGTCACCACTGCTTGGTCACCCCCTTGGTTTGGCTACATCTCTCTAAAGACGTTAGCCAGGCAGTCGTATGAGCAAGGGTAAACAAAGTAACATAGGAACTCAGCTGCCACTCCTCTTCCCTGCCAGTCATTGCCCAGAAAGTCACAAATAAATACCTGAGGCCCCCTATGCTCCTTCCCAACACTTCTCAGTTGTGGGAAAGTGAGAGTGATTGTCAATGCAGGGAGAAAATTTAGAGCAATTAATCAAGGTACTGCTCTTTTATTTGCTAATGTTTTCAATCTCAGTCAATACCATGTAAGTGGAAAGCATCAGTGGAAAGCCATGCTTTCCAACAGACTATGACCTGCCCTCCATGCCCAGCCCACAACAAAAATAGGTCACTCTCAGCAGGATGAAGAGGAAGAGCTTACCCTCATTTTCCCACACAGCAAATCGTGTGAACACAAGGAATCCCAGAAGCACAGCCCTCTTCCAGTCCTTTTCACTCCCCCTAATCTCTGGGATCAAGTAAGAGGGTAGAAGGTAGATACTGGGGGTTGGAGTGACTTGCATTCTTCACAGCACAAAAGAAAGCCCTGATGGTAGTCCTTTCAGAGATCTCTTGCCTGGTGAAATGGTTTTAAATGTCTTAGGAATGGTTCCTGCTGCTCAAGTTACTATTGGTCAGCACAGTGGCAGGCAAGCTTCCATAATTCCTGTTGTGGTGCCTGGGGTACAGCAGGAAGGGGTCCAAGCTAGTGGGTGCAGGAACAGTGATGGTCAGTGTGGTTAAAACTCACATAACTTTAATGGGGAGGCCTTGCATGGGTGGCAGTTGAGGTTGTCTGGAAGCTAGAAGCTGTGATGAGAGGAATGCCCAGAATCTGTCAGTTTTACACTGTGCTTACAGTCTCTCCACAGGAGTTGCTGGACTTCCTAGGCAAGGAAGAACTCAGTGGCATTCTTCAGTGATTCCCAATTGTTTGGTGATTGGTATTGGAACGTCCTCTGCAAATACTCTCTCCTGACCAGGGAACTGGCTACCATCCCCTGCCATCCCTCATCAACTGAGGAGAGGGCTGTGCAGGCAGAGGAGGGTTCCCCCAAAGATAGCCTTCTCTGTTCTCCAGAAAACATTGGGGGCACCAAAAATGGCAAACCAGGCTGCATCCTCAGGGTAGGAGAAGGACCTCTACCTTTTGCTGTCCAGGAGCATGATGCATAGGAAATTATCACCTTGGAAACTAGGAGCAAAAGTAAATAATATCTCAAAATGGAACATGGAGACATGTTTGGGAGTACCTCACTATCTTCATGTCATTAAAGTTTAACAAAGGATGCTTGTTTCCAGGTGCAGCTGGTGAACTCTGAGACAGGTGGGGCGGGTGGAGCATCACACTGTATCACCCAGTTTCAAATCTTTTTAAATTTTATTTATTCAATTTTTGTTTGTTTACAAAAACAGTGTTATAAAACATAACATGTAATTTTTTATGTTTATCAAAACTAACCCCTCCCCCCCACCCCCCGCTCCCTGGCTGCAAACCACCCCACTTACTTCGCAGGCTCCAGAAGGAAAGTGAGCCTGAGCCAAGCCCTGGGTGACTGAGAGCGTCAGGCCCCGCACTTTCCCCTCCCACTCCTGCTCCCCATCCCCCTAGGAGTTTCCCGGGGTTTCCCCCTGCCCACTTAAAGAAGTGGTTATTGCCATCCATTCAAACTGTTCACATGTTTTTCCTGCTCACACACCACTTGGGTGGTAAGGAGATTGCCCCAAGGTGCTTACTGCGTATACTCAACTTTTTGTTGTGTATGCATAGTAGACGAGCATAATCATTGATTATGCTACTAGCAGACATAGGCAAGAAAAAAATTATTATTACTTTTGTTTACATTGTTAATTCAACTGACACTGTTTTGGATACTTCCAATTAATGATACTATTATTTTTATTTATTTATTTAGCTGACATTTTTTGTGTGTCGTTTTGAAACTGGTGGGGTGGCACCCAAGCGCCCCGTATTGACCGGCTGCCACTGTTTGTTTCCCTGCCACTATTTCAGGGTCAGCATCTGCTTCAGGTGGAGCTCCCATGGCATTAGGTACGGAGGCTTTCCCCAGGGAAGGCTGTCTTCCATAGGGTATTGTGGGCATGACTTTGCCTCAAGCTGGACAGGAAGGACAGCATCTCCTAGCTCTGCTCAGTCAGCAACTCCAAGGTGAGGAGAGGCTAGGCATCTTGTCCAGGCTCTTCAGTGCTGATCCTGTAACTGACAAGCCTTACCAAGGTGAAATTGACCAGGCTGTCAGTAGGTTTGAGGACCCAACAGAAGCTAGGCTCGATATAGCCAATGGGCGTTCTCCTCTGAACTCAGCAGTCCTTGAAAGCCTCTAAAGACTTGGACCTGAAAGTCACGTGTAGGATCTGTGCTCTCCAGCTCCTAGCTGCACAGCACTGCCACAGGGTCATTTTTGAAGCACTTGAACTGGAAGGGGCCTGCACATCTGTATGATGCCAAAGTGTTCCCAATTTGAAATGCTTCCCTCAGAGCAGTACTTTGAAGTACTTCAAAGACATGTCTATCCATGCCTTAATAGGATATGACCCCACACTGCATGTTATTATTATTAAAACATTATTATTAGTCATACATACAGGCTTGTTGACATCCACAGTGCAATATAAACAGTAAAATATGTTTTCTGCTCCAATTTCAACATTTAAGGACTACAAGAAAATGTATAGGTCAGTGTCAGTCAGAAAGTAATTATTACCAGGGAAAACAAGGAAAGATGGTTTCTTGGAAGATGTAAGGAGGAACTGGAGCACAATGGGAAATGTAGGAGACTGTTCTAGGCCCAGGGGTGTCTGAATGAAGGTATTGAGCTGAAAGTAGGAGATGAAAGGGACAATGAGAAGAGGATTGAAAGGAGATATGTGGTAGTTTTCTAGATCTTTAGCACAGTAGGCTAAATTTTGACCTCAGTTATATCCCTGCAGCATTGTCAGTGGATGGCCAGGTGTCAATAGAGGGAATGTGTTACATTTACTTTAGCATGTATTTCTGGTCAACTAGAACTCACTGCCAACAAGTGCTCACATTGTTGTCATGACTGACACAGCATATAGGCAGCTGAACCCCAGAAGACAGATTTGGTGTTCCTAGTTCTCACTGCATCTTCATACAACAAAGAATGAACTTGTGACATCTTTATACAACGAAGAATGAACTTAAAAGAAATGGTCATGCATACATTGAAATCCTGTCCATTTTTTTAACTTTCAGGAAACAGAAAAGACGATCAGAACACAAGGCACACCATAACCCTGCATACACTCCAGAGCTGACTGATAACTTGAGATATGTTTCTCAACAACCATTTGCTGAGGTAAAAGGTGAAATACTGCTGTTTCACATGTTCCCTCCTCACGTTATGTTTAGGTATCATTTTCTGGTGTTTCATTGTAAAGATGAATAGTTAAACTCAGTGAAGCAACTCTGGCTCTTTTGACTCAAAATTAACAAGCCTCATCTTGCCCATCTGAGAGGCTCCCATCTCATTCTCACTCCCAAACCACACAGTTTGCTGTGGCACTGTTCAGCTCAATAGTTGAATGTCACAAAGCTCTTTAGAGCCTTACAGAAGGCTAAGCAGTATAGCTACATTATCTAATTAGGCTGTGTGGAGCACTGCACGAAGAGTTTGTTTAGAACCAGCTGAGTCTGTGCCATGCAGATGTACATTTGGACTCTCAAATAGTTTTTATTACATCAGTAAAAATCTTTGCATAAGTAAGGGTTACATCATTAGATTGTAAGATATTTGGTTGAAGGACTGTCTTCCTCAGTTTACACGGCACTACGTGATATATTTAGGAAAGAAAAAAAACAAGTCATTTTTCTTTATAAGCACGCCGACTTAGACAAAAGATTATCTTCTTGAAGGTTAGTTCTATTGCTAAAACAGTAGTGATAGTTGTTGCTTAGAAATGTCTGTTTTCCATGGACTGCTCTATGCTATTGTGGTTCAGTGCAACCATAAAATACAAAATGATCATTTGCATGATTTAGTTACCAATACATCCTTATTTTGATATATAGAGTTCTATGAGAACTTGCTTCAAGGGATACATTTTCAGTGCACTTCTTAATTTGCATCTGCAAAATTTGCAAGTGCACCTTATTTGCAGGTGGGAAATGTACAAAAAGAATTTTTGCGTGAACAGAGTGGGCATTTCACAAACATTTTTGGCCCAGCTACGGAGGTTCACCTTCTATAAAATATATTCTTGGAGACAACAGATCAGGCATTATGGTAATTCTCTGTTTAAGCACCTTCTGTTATGAACATCTACCAGGTAGATTTTTTTTTCATCTAATGTAAATCAGGCTAACTATATTAATGTCAGTTAAGCTACATCAGTTTGTTGTAGCTGAGGATCTGGGCCACCATGGATAAACACAATGTAGTACATTTATAAATCTATATAATGAAAACTTAGACTAAAGCTGTGTATAAACTTAAAATTAAGCATTTTTCTTAATGTGTTTGGTTTGCCTGCCAATTTATTTTAAACAATATATTTAAATATTGTTAGAATTGTAACAATATGATCCTTTTTCTCCATCAGACCTGTTGAGAGTGGTGTTATCTAGGGACACATTGATGTTTTGCCGAGCCAGCAGGGTGTGGTTGTTTCTAATCTAATTATCATTTTATCAGGTTTTTTCCAGAGGAACACTGGTTTGGACTACCATTTACATACCTAAATACTAAATAGTTTTACAACAATTCAGAATATAAATTTAATGCTTATGCATTTTCCATTTTCTTTCACTAAATTAGTATGGACTGAAGTGCTACCAACAACTATTTTTTGTTTTATGATCTTCTCTTTTGGCACAAGGAGAATCAAATCCCAGATTGCAGGGAGCGTGCAGCTGCCTGTCTTACTCATAGGTTAAACTGAATTAAAACATGGAAATTATGATGTGCCCAAGGTCATGCTTTAAGTCAGTGGTGAGCCATAAAAAGATCCCAGTCTTCGTTCCTAGATACTTTCCCTATGAAATAATTGGGGTACTTTTTATGTCCCTCTCCCCCATTATGTTTCAGCAATCCATTACAATTCATGTTTTTTAACTGTACAACACTCCTGTGAAATAGAGAAATTGTAAGTGATCTGTGTAAGTTTATAAAGGAAGTCCATGAGTGAATACAAACGTTAACCCAGATCTTGCGAGTGCCAACCGCCCTTACCACTAAACCATCCTTCCTATGTCAAGTTCAAACTCAAGTCTCAGCTTTTTCCTATTGCCCTTGACAACATACTCTCAGTAATATAAATCATCATTTATATTACTGATGGTGTCAGCTGTACTGACACCATCATACAGATGGGAGGGATAAATACATTTGAACTGTAAGGGATCAGGGAAACACAAGCGTGTGCAGAAATAGCAACATTATTCCATGTGCACGTTTGTTTTCAGATAATCTTTCTAGAAAAATCAAATCTGGCTGCCTGAAAAATTAGTGTAGATACCAGGTATGATAAATAAATGTGTTATATGGAGCAGGTCAGCTGGCTGACCTGCTCCACCGGGCTTTAAACTAAGCCCATTGGGGGATGGGGGGGCCTACCGCCACTGCTGGCCCGCTGAGCAATCCTTGCAAAGCCAGCGGATCACGGCGCTTCAGGGAGCCCACCCCAGGGCCCCAGCCCTGGTAAAATCTGTGTGCAAGGAAGGAGCCCCCCAGAGGGCACTTGCCTGCCTGTACACTAATGCCAGGAGCTTGGGGAATAAGCAGGAGGAGCTCATCCTCATGCTCAGTGCAAACAATTACGATGTCATAGGGATAACAGAGACCTGGTGGGACTCCACCCATGACTGGACCACGGGGATAGATGGCTATACCCTGTACAGGAGGGATCGTGTAGAGAAAAGGGGCGGGGGGGTAGCTCTCTATGTTAAGGAAAGCTACACGTCCCTGCAAGCCGATATTGGCGACCAGGGTGGATGGCTGGAGACCCTCTGGGTTAAAATCCGTGGAGATGACCTATTGAGGTCCCTTCCACCCCTAATTACATGTACTATATATAACACATATACTATATAGGGGATTTTTAATACACTTTAATAAGTGCAGTGCTTAAGAGGGTATAAAAAAAAGGTAAAAAAGGAGTCCAAATCATATCTTCAGATAAACTGGTCTGAGAAAGGCCAGTATAAGTATATAGATCATTAAAAAAAAACTAAACTAAACTAAAGATATTAAAAACTAAATAAAGTGCTCTGCTGTTTCTCTGTAATGTTCTATGCTTATATTACTGTATTTATAATGAATCAATACAGTTTTTATATTGATCTTTATTAAAATTACATTATTTTATTGGCTCCCATTGGGACTATAACAACATCACTTTAAACTACATATTACTCTTAAATGTCCTTTATTGTTATACTATTTGTTTGCATTATTTGTGTTCAATAAACAACCAGATCTCAATGGGGTCCTCGAGCTAGCATGGACACTCTAAGATGTTTGTGCTGGTTAATTGAAGTGTATGTGACAAAAATTGGATACAGTACAATTACTCCTTTAAGAGGAAATCACCTTCCTTTAGATCTCAGAGCAATGGCAATGCAGAAACAAATTTACTCTGCTACAAGTGAAATTGAGATGGCTTAAAATATATATATATACACTAGTAGATGAAAATGAAAATCTGCTGAAGGCACTCTTCCAGTTTTCACTGAAATAAAAAAGAACCATGAATAAAGGAAACCCTAAACAGACTTTTCTACTGAAACCCAGATGTCCCTCCAAATTCACCTGACAATAATACTTGTGTAGCATATGGCAAGGGATAGGGATTTCTAAAAATGTTGAGTCCAACAATCTGCAGAAGAAACAGCCATTTTTAAAATAATTTGCACTTCTCTTAGCCTCTCCCTCATTCTGGCATCAAGATCCTTATCCCTGTTGTACTGTTATGAGATCTGCCTTTCTGCTGTTACTCTTCATTTCAACAGTATGTGGAAGCTGCAGTGGGAGACTTTCTAATATCTGGAACACCAATAACTAGATTGTTATTCAAAGCCATTTAATAGGGCTATTCCTGAAATCCTCTGTACAACAGCCAAGTCATAAGCCTTTACGCTGTGCAGTAGGTGGGCTGTATAACTAACTTGAAATAAGTCATGGCAGTTTCCAAAAGAGTTGCATATATGCATTCCCTTTCCACGTGCGTGCATGATTATATGCGAGTCCCACACCTTTCTTCATCCCAGATTAGAGTTAGCTTTCCCAGGCCACATGATTGTAGCAATTGTGAAGCTTTATACAAAAATAACTTAATTGCCTGGAGAAGATGATGGTTAACAAAAGGTACCCATGGCTCTGGTTTTAGCAGAATCCAGCAGATGTTTCTCTCTCTCAGAAAGACAAGGACTTCATGGATTTATTTCCTTTTCTCCAGTAATTTATCCAAGAGCCAACATTTCACTCTACCATGACAGGTACAACATGCTAACCAGCTCTGAAACACCACCATTTGAACTACCATATGGTTCTCAGGAGCTTACAGGGACAATTATGTTTTCTCCTGTGGATCTTAAAAAAATGCATACAAGCTGTAATTTCAACATGAATAAGGAGTAGCTCTCACATAGATTATCATCAGCAGTGCATGAGATGCTCATTTGAAATTCTCCCATAATTGTAAAGGGCCCCTCGAGAAGAACAAATAAGCCCTGCCATGTTTCCTAATCTTGCTGCACTAGTTGTACACTCCTAATGATGACACAAAAGCTGCTGTAAGCTTTTCTTCTTTGACTCCACTGCTTATATCAGCTATTATTCAGTTATTCCATCTTAACGGTGGAGAATCATTTTTGTGCTTTTCATTCTTCCTCCCAGAGGGCAACAGATGTAATAACTTATTCCCTGTCTGGCGCATTAAGGCTTGAAAAATTAATGCAGTGCTGCTGAGATTTCCACTTTCAGCTTTACTTAGAGAGCCAAGCTTTGCATTTCAGTGAAAAAATATTAAGTAATAAAAAGCTTATTTTAAATTTGTTAATGTACTTGTCTGTTTTAATGCCTTTCTGCGTTTTCTGCATAATAAGAATTCCAGTAACTAATCTTCCTGAATTGCTTTTGCTCATCAGCTTCTACTCTGCAGTTTAGTTTTGGACAATCCTGCCACAACCCTAGAATCTTCTACTGTTTAAAATATAAATGCCACAATCAACTGTATATTATTACATTCTTGTAATGTCAACATACTTACCAGTAATGTGTTTTATTACAGACAAATCTGCACAATCAGTTTAGTCACTGCGGCTAAGATGATAAGCAATTTATCCAGCTAGACATTACTC